CCACTAGAAGGTACAATATGAAGTATTTTTATTGCAGCGAATGCCAGTGGTTTCTATATCATTTTATGTCATTAATGCAATGGGACACAGTGTTATTTGATAGTGGCATCATGTCAACCTTCCTTGCAGCATGTTTTCTGAACAGGTACTGAAATACAGAGTGTGGCAGAATATATTAAATGATTTAAATTCGTGAAATGGGTCATTTATTTTCAGTGAATATGAGAAACACAGATTTGTGAAGTATGTAGGAAAGCATGCCATGTGATATGTACTTTTTAAAGACAACATCAGTTAGATGAGCTCCACTATTCTACAAACAATCCTCTGCACGTCGCCGTTGTTTTCCTCAGCATGTCCACTAGAATTTGCAGAATGGTAGTTCTGATGGAATCCCACAATTCATAAATGGTGGAAGGTTGATTCTAACAGACCTTGTACTTTAAATATCCCCATAAGAAATAGTCACATGGGAATAAATCTGGCAAGCATGGAGGCCAACTGACATCACCATTTCTCAAGATGACACATCTGGGGAACATTTTTCAAACTGTTTTCATGGAGATTCATGCCATGTGAGATGTCGCACCATCTTGTTGAAGCCATACTAAGCATATACTGTTGTGGCATCAGCATAGTTCTGGCAGAAAATTATGTTCAGCATGGCCACATAATGCTCAGCAGTTATCGTAGCTGCATATTTGTCACTATCTTAAAAAATGTATGGTCCTAAAATGCCAAATGAACTGAGTCCACACCATACTGTGACCTTCTGGCTAGGCAAAGATGATTAATGCAGTAAGCATGAGTTTTCTTCTGCCAAGTGCCTGAAATTCTGCTTATTAACATACCCACTTAGATGAAAATGTGCTTCATCTGATGTTATCAAGTTTGGAAGAAACTGCGGTAGTGTGTTCATCATTTCCAGTAGCTTGATACAAAATTATTTCTTGCAGCATTTGAATTCTGAATGGATGAAAGTGGAAATCCATGTGTAACATTCTCCTAACCCTCCTGTCTGAGATGCCTAGTGCCATAGGATGTCGTCTAGTAAAGCGTCGTGGACTCTACTGTAGGGCCAATTGCACCCTCTCCACATTTTCTGGGTTGTTCACTGCTCAGGGACAGCCAGGATTCTTCTAGGGCAAGGCAGAAGCAGTTGCCCTAAACTGACTTACCCAATTTAAAATGGTCTGATGTGTCAGAACCTTACCATTTCTTCCAATGTTAACTTCTTCCTTAATTTCACAATGCATCTAAGTAGCTGAATCATTATTTTTAAAAAAGCACTCCACAGCAAATGTTTGATGGTCACATGATTAACGCTCCATGGAGACTAATAGGCTTTGAACTACTCTCAACACAGCTGCAACAATCAGCATGCTATCTACCAGGATATGGACTTGGTGCCAATTTTAAATCATCGAATCAATTCTGCTGAATGGACAAATTAAGCCTTCCCCAATAAAATGGGCTTTCTGCAGCGATTGCTACTCAATAACTCTTTCAACATGATGTTTCAAATGAATTTTCGTTGTCATTAGTTGCCGTAAAAATAAAATTAGTAATATCAATTTTGATTCAATCATTTTTGTTTGAAAAAATCAAAAGGCTTTTGATTTCAGTGGGGTGACTGGTTTCTAAATGCCACTGATGAAGAGAATGTTTAAGACTGCTATTAGTGAACACATCACCAGAAATTGGGTCGAGCAGTTTTGGATACTCTTGATCACCTGTAGTGTCCTGTCTTCTGCAATATTATTCTTTGTATTCAGTTGAAAGTCAACTGACATTTCAGAGGAACATGTTGCCAACTTCAGGGTTGAAGAGGAGGCCAAGCTAGAAACCACTTTAACTGTTTGACATTCACCAGATGACAAAGCATTATACATATCCCAGAAAACAAAATTCTTCATAACCACTACTGTGGGAACCCCAAACCTTACACCAGTATACGTAAATCCAAATTTTGTACTCTCAAAGTCACACTTTTTTCTTGAAACAGAACTCTCTTACATCACTTCATGTTTGATCTCATGAATTTGGTTTATCACATACCAGATCTGGTGCAACACTAATGCTGATACTTCATTCTTTCTTGCCTTTTTAACGCTTTCCAGTTTAACCACTTATCTAGTCAGGTAAAAATTTATGTGAAATGTTAACAGCCATTTGAGAGAAAAAGTCACTTCACCAAAGTACATGATAGCACATGGAAAAATAAAAGAACCAGGCCGAAATAATCCATGATCTCTATGGTAACGGTACTTGCTGAGAGATGGAATTGGGGTGCCATGAGTCCCATCTGACAACTTCTCCATCCACTGTTGCCATATACTTGTCCATCACTCAACGCTGCATCACCTTCTTACAAAACACAAGATACATATGAAAAAGCAAAAAGTAGTTTTAGGAGTAAAAATGGGCTGAACACAATTTCTCAAAACACATGCTGTCGCAAATGAAACAGAATGACTTACTGTCTTTATCATATAAACTAAGAACACAAAAAATAAGCCATTACTGATATTTTTCTGTGAATTCCTGGGAAAATTTCACTAACTTCCCACAGACTTGAGAACCATAGGTTGGGAACCACTGTCTTAGCTCAACAGCTGAAGTAACTTATTGACAAACCTCAGAGTTCTAAATTCTACCACATATCAAATACAGCTAAATGGTAATGTTCATGATTTAGAAAAAAAAAAAAAACTAACCAAGAATTACATGCTTGATAAATGGCACATAGCACAAGAGCTACAGAAGTATATTGAGCACTTCATGCACTTTTTAAAAAAACAATTGGGATGGTAGGAAGAAAACTATAAAACATACCATTTATAAAGGGCCTGGCTCCTCTGACTGTTATATTAGGACTATTGCCTCTGTCAGCAGCATTACAGACCAACAGACAGGAAGGGACATCAAAGGATGTGTACAAGCTATTCATCTAATTAAAGATAATGAAGGGTAGTAAAACAGTCTTGCCCTTACAGTTAACAAATTAGAAACTCAGAGTCATCTGATTAATTTCAAACCAGAAGACAAGTGGGATTACTAACACAGCTGATTCAGTGTGTACTGTTAATATGAACAACAGACTACTCAACAATAACAATAAGTAAGCCAGATGGTGCACTGGCAATGCTCCACACTTACATTTGTTGCAGTTGTTGCTGGGACACTGCCAATTCTGAATGAAGTCTTCTGTGTGCCCCCCCCNGCCCCCCCCCCCCCCACATTCTGAGCAGGATCACAACTGCACTACAGCTGCTTTCTTCCATATATTTTCACTTAATTATTTACCATTCAATGCTCTGTAGTCTGAGATACTGACAGCCTCACAAAACAAAGCACACAAGAAAGAAATGACACTGAATCCCATAAAACTAACTCTGACTGTTTTTAGCTTGTTGGTGTCTGCAATCTGGAAATTCTCCCCTTCTGGTTGGTTTTGGTGGGGGGAGGGGGGAGGGAGAGGGGGAGAAAGAAAATTTTACTTGAGTAGTCAAGCAACTGTCATGAAACATACACTCATTTTGACAAAATAATTTTACTGTATATAACAGAATTCTGGAATTACTGAAGAAGCCAAGAAAATATTGAAGTTGTTGTAGTTAGTTGGCAGCAGCAGAAAGGATTGTCAGCCTAATGGGTAACAGCGCTATCAAGAGAAGAGATGCAATGTTAAGTGAGAACACTTGCCATCTCAAGACAGTGAAGCTATCATGAAAACCATTACTTGATTTGATGTGATGCCATTTATGAAATTGTGGTGAAAGCAACGATATCAAGAAGCAGAAAGAAAATGAATCCAGAAAATCTGCAACACCTACATGACTGTCTGCAGTTTCCATCAGCCTGACACTTAAATTATTTTGTGAGTTGATGGTTTACATCGAAAGCATTACATAGCAATTCATGAGTTACTTCATGATTTTTGATATTATTATGAAAGATTGGGTATTTTTAATAATTAAGGGAACTTTCAGATCAGTAACTTACAGAATGCTATTCACTCACTCAACCACTTGAACTGAAGTCTTCCCTTGCTTCTGATGACTTTGAGAATGTGGGTTATAATGTCAGTTTGAATGAGTTGCAAATTCAGGTTGTTTTACAGCTTACAAGTTGTTGCCTACTGGACTAAAAGCCTCACTGTATTATATTATATTATATTTTTTTAAACATAAAGTGGTAACTATCTAACTTAAGTACATACACGTATATTTTAAATGGATAAATAAATGAGCTTAAAAAAAGTCAGGACAGAAGCAAGCAGTCTGTCTAGTGTCTGTGACACTACTGGATATTTGGCAGAAGGGACATGGGCTGTCAACCACAGCTGAATCACAATACTCCTGCATTGAAAAGTAAGTTAGAGACACTCTTATGTGCACAGAAAGTGTGCAACCTGATCATATCACAGACTCTGGAGTCTTGAATGAGAGTCATGTGTCCTATCACAAGTGACAGTACCAGAAATGACTTAGAAGTTTTTGCACCTCTAAGTGCAATGTCGTGCACTGTTCCTTTGTTGGACACTATTTCACTGTATGTTTCAGCCTAACTGGCCATTTTCAAGTGTACACACACATAACCAAAATAACCAGAGGCAACTACATTAGGAGGAAAGAAAACCTCATTAAAGTGAGCAGCAAAATTCTTAACCATAAAAACCTTTCATGTACACCTAAAAAGGGTCAGTTAGGCCAAAACACATAGTGAAATAGTGTCTGACAAAGGAATCGTTAACAACATTGCACTTACTACAGCATAAAAGCTCCTATGTCAGATCTATACAGTGCAACAGGATGCTGAAATGTAACATTATGACAGTACCAGAGTTTTTGTTCTATTTTGTGAATGTGACATACAGTTATTTTATACAACATTATTATAATCAGAAAATATGCCTGTCAGTATAAACACAGTGACAGCGTTACTCTCTTTCACACAAAGAAACATATAAAAAATGAATGGCAAAACACTGGCATTACCTTGTTAAGTGCACTGAGGACATTGTCAGGCATGTGGTCCTGGATCATGACTGGTGAGATTAGAACCTCGTCAAAGTCCGTGTTGTTAGCCCAAACTGCCTGGTATACTGGTTCGTGTTTGTTTAACATTTGCCTGATGATGCAGTAACATTACAATTAGCTATTACGGTTGTGTTTTTATGTTTTATTGAACAATTGCTTTGAGGAAATGTAAAAGCATAGCACAAATATATATTTTTGAAGTTGTATCTTCCAATGCACATGGATAATAAAGCCATTCATTCACTTTAACATAAATTACCACACATGGTGTTCATGTTGACAGGCCTTCTGCCACGTGATCTGGAGTCTCAGGTTAAAATCTCCTCACAGAGAATGGCTATCCTGAGGTTTCCCAGTCTCTCCAGGTGACTGCTCAGATAGAACCTCAAATTAGGGCTGAAACGCTTCCTTATGCTTCCTTTCCTATTCTCTATTCATTACTACTTTTATCAATTGATATTATATATAAAAAGCAATAAATTAATTCACGGTAAATAATTTTAAAAAGCCGCACAACTTACAACCTTCAGTTTCTTTCACTTTATCAAGAAAAACTCATGTTACTGTACAGTTTATGAACACAGACATGGATGGACTGACACTCCTTATATGAAAACAGGAGACAAAATTAAGGTTAAATTTGTGGGATTTTAAGCTTTCATCTTGGTTACCATGAACATTACTCTCTTCTGGGATATGTTACCAACACCTTGAAGGAATCAGCAGGTTCTTCATTAAGTGCTACTATCCATCTTAGAGACTGAATGATATCTGATCCCAGGAGACTGTAACATTCAAGGCTGAAATCATTAACAGACCAGTGCTCAATGAGTGTCCAGCCACCTCCACATAACAGGGACCAAATTACCTGACCAGTCTTGAACAAATTAGGAATAGTGGCCCTACAACAAATTCTGCTAAGTCATATTGGTTTTGGTTTCATTTGGTACATTTTAGGGGTCATTTTTCTTACATGACTAAGTAAACCTTAGCATGTAGATTTTCAGTTTAAGAACATGAGAGGCTTCCTGTTGAAAAATGCGGGTCATTCTGTTTGAAATCTGTTTTCAGTTTGTCATCCAAAGTTCCCAGCTGATTACCTGCATAAGATGCCGAACGTTCAGAGCAATATCTATGGGATTTATTTGGTCTGCAATGTACTGGACCAATTACTGCAGCACTATTCAGCGGAGTTTTTATTTTGAAGTATAGTCATGTATTACTGTATTTATGGCTCATGTAGGGAACTGGAGTTAATCTTCATATTACATGCAGTTGCTATGGGCCCCAATTAACTCATTCCAGGGTGCATATCCCATTTTAAGAAGCTAACAGCTGTTCAGTTAGTAAACATATTCCCCACATTTTATGGAACCTTAAAGTTCATTACAAAAACCTACTGTTGGTCCCTATACTGAGCTAGATGAATCCAGTCCACACCTTCCCAATAATCTCTCTCCTTCACGTTTTCCTACTATAACACTGTGAAAACTTTTCTCCCATGCATGCATCATGCCTTGTCCAGCTCATTTTCCTTGATTTGATCACCATAATATTATTTGGTGGACATAAAAAATTATGAAGCTTCTCATACGTTATTTTCCTTATCTTCCTGTCATATCCTCCCTCTTACATCCAAATATTCTCAACTTTCAGTACTCAGATATCCTGAGCCTATGTTTTACCATCAGTGTGAGAACAAACTTCACACCCATGCAAAAAGACAGGCAAAATTCTAGTTTCCATTTTCCATTGCTTAGTATGTCATGAATATGCTATGCACCCAAACTGCTGCATTATATTTGTGCAAACGGATCACTGTAGGCATGTCTCATCTGAAATAAATACAAATACAGCTTGACAGACCCTGCAGCAGGCGTGGAAGAGGTAATGAAAGAGGTCTGCCAATGAACCCCTTGAAGCCCCCTTTTCAGAGCCAGCAAATATCTGTTGAAGGATGTTAGAATTCTAACTGCTTTATAGAAAACATGTATTTTCTTCAGTTTCCAAAAGCATCCTGCATTTGATTGGTGATGTCATCTATACAAGACATTCTTAAGCATATTTCAATTTAAACTGAAGATAAGTCTATATATACACCACGTGCTGCAGCACTTTGCTGCTACAATGAGGTATACTTGACATTAAAATCCAAGAGGTTAATTACTGGTATTTGTTCTCATCTGTGGGCATTTTGCTAGGGACCACAGTTTGGGCATAAACATTAAACACAAGACAACTGGGTTCAATCCCTGGCCAAGGTCACAACCGAATTATATTCTTGCATCCTGTGGTGTATTTTGTAGTAGTGGCATTTTCAGGGGCTGTCAACAGAAGAACCAATTGACTATAAAACCTATGTTGAGGAGTTAATATTCAGTTTTATTTTCTATATCCCACTAAATGTTTCAATCTGCAGAGATTATAGTCATGTAGCCTTGGGATATATGTGTTGCCATTGAATTGTCAGTTAAAATAGATACATTTAATTTTCATCAACAAAAACAATATTATTTATGACAGAACAGTTATACACAGAAAGTTAAAATCAAGTACCTTCAGTAATTTAGATAAAATGTTTAATAAAAATCAGCAAATGGGAGGGGGTGTATTTAGGGCGTTGGTTGATGGGTGTTGTGACATTTGTAGTTGCAGACGTTTTTTTGTGTCGCAGATGTTTTTTGGTGTGTGAAGGCTGTGGTGATTAGTCAACACAAGGAGTTTCTGATTTTATAGGTGACTATGTGGTTTATGCCTTGTAGAGTTCTTGTAACATGTCTAGATGTGAATTTGTGTCCAGTTGTTCTGCAGTGTATTGTGGCATATAGACCCGTTACTATGCGGTGACTCTGTGACCAGCAGCCATTGCTAGGAACAATTCAACCACTCACTAAGGGTACTAAAAACAATCTTGTAGTTGAACCTTCCACAAATAACACTTCTCGAAAATTAAATGTAAAAAATGGATCAATTTAAACTGGAAATTCTATGACAACAGATATGTATTCAAAGATCACCTGGCTACAATCTCTGAAGACTGAAACATGAGGTGGAAAACAGAAAATAATACTGAGTATTAACACCTTAATATAGGTTTTATAATCAATCAATTGTTGTGTTGAAGGCTCCTAAAATATCGTTAACTCTTATGTACTGAATTTACAAGATCAACATGACATGATTTTGGCGGCACCATAACAACAATGGCACAGAGAGTATTTTTGCATGCGACAAAACATGATTCAATGTGACATACATACAGCCAATCATGCAAGGCTGTAACTACAGTGAAATTGCATTGCCTGATCTCCTCCTGATTGATGTCGCATTCTGTCAGGTGCCATACACCCCTGATTTCAAAATCACCTACATGCACTAATGAGCGCTCTATAATCCAGAATTTCAACAACAGACTGACTTTATTGGCTCTCAGGATATACACAAATTGATTTTCTAAGTGTCTACCTTTATTACATGCACTGTGATACGTAAATATTTATGCATGATGTCTTTAACACTTCTACGCATTTTACTCCCATTGATTGTGAAACGAAAGTTTGTGATTTCAAAAAACAAAACTACACCTATAACATATGCATATTTCAGCCCTACCTCATCACAGCCTATTCCACTCAATATTCAATGACATTCTTCCACTCAGAGTTTCACATGTTCAATATAAAAGCACAATCATAGGTTTTGAATTTCTGAGAGGCTCATGTCAGCAAAAGGAAAAATTTGAGCTGGATGAAGATCAATACCGAACCAAAGACCTTCGAAAAAGAAAGCCACAACTTTACAGCCGAACCATGAAGTATCTGGTGAGACAACTGATCAATAAATTTTAATCTTAAGCTTCTAGGACAAGAAAACTTACTGGTCAGATTAACCCATTACACTTTCTAGTATTTGGAGAGCATTTATGAACTGACATCGGCTGTAAACGACTCCAGTAATCAGTAAATTAGTTGGTAGGGTGGTGTCACAGATAGACAGACTGTACCACTGGGCACCACTTGCGCACACACACACTCAGATCAGAATGTACTATTGAACTGTTATTACTCATAAGCTTTCATTAACCTTTAAAGGCAGGACTTCTGAAATGGTGGTAAGCTTGAGCTGGTCGGAGTTTATTTAAATGCCCGCTGCTACTCTGCGTTTAAATTTGTTTCTGTCAGCAAAGAACATAGTGTCGCATAATATAACGGAAGATTTGAAAATTTTTATACAAAGAGTGATATTCTATTTTCAATTATTTCCTTTTAATTTCGATGCATACTACAAAAATGGTTTCCAGAGTTCTTCTGCATTATAAATTCATTACTGCTTGAAACGCTTGACAAATTTAGCAGTCCCTGGTGTCATAAAACAGATGGAAGCAATAAAATCATTTGGTCTTCTGCTAGCAATGCATACACTTTTCAGATTTTCGAATCTTTTGACTGAAGGACAGAAGAATGAAAGAATGGCTATTCAACAGAAAGCTAGAGGGGTTCCTTCTTCAGTGCTAAGACCGTCCGCTATAGCTGCAAGAGATTATTGCCCTTTTCTAGGGTCGTGAACAGACAGTTGCATCGTGTTTGAGATACAGAGTTCAATCCGTTTTCTGTGCGTTCATAGTGAAATCGAATACTGTAGTTTAATTCCAGCCTATGTATACATCAAGCAGATAACAAAAGATATGTACTTCGAAATGTTACTATATATTTTTAGCACATTAATCTGCAGAATCTGCATTAAAAGTACTGGCTCGTGGATTCGTTTGGGCATAACTCATACATATATTTTTTTTTACTGTTGTTCACCCCCCCCCCCCCTTGGCACTACAGTCCCTGTGGGCATAGGCCTACCTCCATGAAGTTCACCTGTTGTTCACTTAGGTATCAATTTAATTCTTCTATTATGGTTTTACTCAAGTCTGCCTGGTAGTTACTATATTTAGAACTAAATATTTAGGACTGTGAATGTGCTTCCACTTTTTTCTTTCCTTGGCACTGCAGCCCCCGTGGGCCTAGGCCTACCTCCATGAACTTCTCCGTTCACTTCGATTTTTCTAGAATTTTCACATTCGGTAGGCTTCCTTGGGCGGGTGATAAGCTCGTCACAAGGCCTACCTGTACACAAACACAGAAAAAACACACACACAAACTAAACATCCATACCTTAAGTGGGATTCGAACCCACGATCCCGATTTCCAAGTGAACGAAGGNAAGGCAGTGCATGCCTTAGACTGCTTGGCCACCATGACCGGCATGCGCTTCTACT